TGAGACTAGTAGTCATGAGTAAATCAATATACAGGGTATACAAAAGCCAAACTTAAATGAAACTTTCTTCTGGCCTCCCTTGTTTTCTGTGTGTGTGTGTGTGTGTGTATGTTTAAGTGTGTTTGTGTGTGTGGGGTCACTAACCCCCCTTTGGTGCTTAGGCCAAGGAGTACCTCTCGTACCAGGCTAGGCCTTGTCTCAGGCAACTTGGAATCTCAGCCCTATCATGTGTGCATGTGTGATCCTACAGATGTTTATTTGTATGTGTGTTTTGTTTATGTCATGATACCTCCCGCACCAAAAGAAATTCCTTGTACTTCTCTGTACTTGGCGAATAAAAAGATTCTGATTCTGATTAACATTCTGACCTGTAGAAAGGAAGGTAGGGGAAGTTATTGTCTTTTCTTTGTTCTTTGTTTTCTGTGTAGGTCTAAGTTAATATTGTTTTGGATGGAGATAGTGTTGGGTGGTTTTGTTGTTTTGCCGTGCCAACCTCCGGAGAGATGGCTGGAATATGTTCCGTAAATAATGAAATATAATAATAAGGCTACAAATTTGGTTCCCTTCTGGAGGCAAGTCATTTACAGGTAAGAGCAGATTTATATGCAATATTCAGATCCTTTTTCCCCCCATTTTCTGCTTGCACTTTATAGACAGCACTAGTGGAGTCTCCCAGTCTGCTCACATCTCTGTGTACCTTCTGTTCCGCATAACTACAGAGTTTACCAGGGCCGGCTCTCTCTGAGAGATTCTGCAGCAGAACTCTATCACCAACTAAAATACTACCCCTTTTACTTCTTTGTCACAATAGCACTTGCCTTTTACTGAGGACTTTTGGCTATTTTCCAGCACGATTTTATAGACTTCCTGGATCCTTGTGGACCACAAATTCCTACTTGGTCCCACGATGGCATTCCAAAAAAGGAGAAAAAACAGAGAATACCCAGTTGCTTCATGTTTGGTGCAATTCTAAGCATGAACAATGTGTGAAAGATGATCTTTCTAATCTGACTTCTGTAATCTCTTCCTGAAAAGAATGAAGGCATCTGGAGGAGGGTGTGATTTAACCATTTGACAGGATTTTCCCGAGGATGGTACAGATTCGTACAGGAGTGGGATATGCCTGACAGTTGTTGTAATCTGTAAAATAAACTATTTTCAAACTCTGTCTCTTGATAAAGATGCAATTTCCTGGGAAATCTGAAACGAGAAATAAAATCCTAAAATATTTTCTGCGCTGCTGCCTTTGTGGATTTAGTCCTTGTGGGATCTGTTTGGGCAAACCGGGTAAAATGACCCATGAGGAGAAGAATATAGTCATGACCAACCGGACTGGATTCCAGATGAAGATAGACTACAACTATCAGATCAGCACTGGTGGAAATTGTCCCCATAGGGGCCTTTCAGGGATACTTAGATGGTTTTGTATAATCCAACCCAAATAGCTCTTCCGGCTCAACCACTCAGGGGCGGCATCAAGACGGGCAGCTACTCACGAGTTGGTTGGGGGTCATGATGTTAAACCATTCGCCTTATACTCATATTTTCTTTATTGTATTTCATATTTACTATTTATTCAGTTTTTACTATTCCTACTATTATTATCATCATTATTTTTCCCTGATTCTTTCAGCTGTGCTCTCCTGTGTGGGGTGTGCCAGTCATTTCTTCTTCCAGTGACAAGTTTTTCCCTTTCCTCCTTTGCTCCTGTCTCGGGTGTGGTATGGTTTTACTTGCTTGGTCATTTTTTTCTTTCAATTCAATTCAATAAAAATTTGATCACAGAAAATTACTTACCAAGGTTTATCCACTAAAATTTGCAGGGGTCTAATTCCAACTTCAGGCAGGTTTCCCCATCCATTTATTCCAATCGCACTCACCTGTATCCAGAAGCATATATATCTGAACTTGATTAATTGCACAGGAAACCAAACATTTGCCTCCAAGCCACTGAACTGTTTTTTTCACAGTGGTATTGTCAGTATCAGTATGCATCAGGCTAAAATGCAGAGTGTTTCCTGGACTAAAAAGGCCATTTGACTGGAGTCAGTCACTGACTCCAATACTCCTGTGACCCCCCCCCCTCCCTTTTCCTGACTGTGTCCACTTTGACCACAGCGAAAACAATGAACACTTTTCCCGCGTCCTTGCTGAATACACTCATGACATTTGCCCTTCCTAGATGTTCTCTGAAGTTCAACTTGCACATGGGAGGACTATCTGCGACTCGAAGGCTACAGACTTAGCCGACTTCCCTAGATCTTCGGTTAAAGCAAACAAATAAGCGGTTAGTTGCCAAATGGCTGTGCATTGACCTTGAGCATCACATCACTGTTTATAGACATCTGTAGTTCTAGCCGACAAGGTTCACTGACAGGCTGCTGGGCAGAATTTACTGCAACCGGTCTAGACTTAACCAGAGAAGAGAGACACTTTGCTCATTTAGCTTCCCCACAAGCAGATTTTGTTATCTGTTCTAAAATGACATCATCTGTGACCTGATGATCAGTAAGGAATCATTTAATGTCTCTCCTGTTTTCTGTCAGGGTCAACGCCTGTATGACCCTGCCATCAGTGACCTTTCCCCACCTGGCCAGCAGGCATTGCTGGTCATTCCGCCTTTCCCCCCTCGGCCATGTATTCCTTCTCTATCCTATGTGTTCGGTCCCTGTTTGGACAGCAGGTGTTACTGGCCATTCTGCTTCCTCCTGTCTGTATGCCTCCCTTGTTCTCTGAACTGCCATATGTTTCTGTAGGTTGAGTGTGTGGGTTGGAGACTGTTAACCTTCTGGTTGTGGCTTGAAAGCGGGCCTTATCTGTTGATTTACATTTATTATTTTTGTTCCCCAGTGTTTCTTGTTTTCTGTTCTGCTTTCTCGGTTATAGGTCTGTCCTGCTGTTTTCTTCTTCACTTCTGGTCTTGTTTGTATTTGGTTCTGTTAATTACCCTGCTGTATTCCCAGAGTGTTAGTTAGTGTCTTCATTTTTCTTGTTCTGTGCTTGTTCATTGTTCCACCTGATGCTCATTGTCCTGCTCCTTTCGTGATTGGTTTATTTGATTATGATTTTCACCTGTCCTTTGTCTGCCATGAATTTCTGCGTGTATTTAAGTGCCTGTTCTGGTTTTGTTCCTTGATGGTTCAAGGAACAAAACCAGCAGGTTTGAGCTAATTGGAGGGCCCTAGGCAGTGATCGTGTTGCTCCAACAACCAGGAGCACTGGAGGGGTGCTCACCAAATTCTCCTGATCACACTGCACGCTGTGAAAGCTGAAGGCATAGACCTGTCTCATTGTCCTCCTTGTAAAGCAATAGAAGATCAGTGGAACTGGGCTTACGTGTCCTGTGGTGCTACCTGTCATGGTGGTAGTATTGCTTTCCATAACCATCGCATATGGTTGTTGGATGCTTACACCTTGCTTGCTGTATCTTTGAGTCTTGTTCTGCTCTGATGGTTAAATCTGCTGCTAAGGTAATGGTCACTCTCCCAGCTCCGCCTTCTGGCCTGGCTACGTGTAAGTCATCTGACATTGCTCTGGTTCCCCAGTGGCTCTATGCTGGTAAGTTTGAACTCAATATTAATATTAATGTCAATTGGTATGACCTTGGAAGATCCTCATGGCTGGGATACAGGTGATCTATTTCAGTTATGATGACATTCCTTTTTCTGTTAAGCAGCATGCGTGATGCACTCAAAAAGGTGGGAATGTGGTAGAAAATTGGGGAACAGGAATGGCAGTCTGCTGGAGAAGAAGTGCATGATGGGATAGCCGTCGAGCCTTGACTTGTTTGCCTGTGTGCGTGTATTTCTGAATGCCCTAACCCAGGCAGGAAGCTGAGATGGGAAGAGCTGGAAAAGCAGGTAACTGGGGAGAGCTGAGGCAGCAGCCTGCTAGAGGAAAGAGCACGGTGGATGTTTCAAGGGATGGAAGAACTGGGATGGAGGGAGCTGCCCATTAGCGTAAGAGGACCTATTGAATGCTTCCCAGTAAAAAGCATGTGACCCAGTTCCTGCATCGGTGGGGAATAATATTGAGACTAATATCCGACTATACATTTACTAAGGGGATTGTATTGTTTCATTCAAGGTAGGGTGTCTGTTTGAAATTCTTTTTTGTCCGTCTGAAATTTAAACCTTTGCTTGTTCTACTACTCCAGTCGGTTCGGTTTCGCTTTCGTTTCAGGCACCTGATCTCAACTTCGGAAGAAGTCCAAAGGCTATGAAGTAGCCTGACAGCTCAGACGACAGACGCCTTCTCTCCGCCGCCTGCCTCATACCCAAACGAAGGTAAAGCAGCCGAAAAAGAGTGTTTTACATTAATGGCTACATGTGAATGAATTCTATGGCCCCTACCCACATGCAGATTTACTTGCTGGTTTATTGGTGATATATTGTTAGTACACATACACACATAAACAGGGGTCCGATCTTTGTCCGGGGATAAAGTGACAAAAATTTATGATAATAAGTTGCTGAGCCAGACTAGGAGGGGAGCTACGATCATGCAGCCTAGATTAAGTTGACTGCCACTGATATAGTTGGTAGATGTTCCATTGTGTGAATGAAATTACATAGAACAATTTAGAGATGGTATATTTTCAAAGGGGATGATTTTTGTTATTTTTCTTCCCCATGGGAAAATGGCATCCACATGCATCCCATGATAAGTAGAGCCCTGCGTCTAATCAAGAATTGCACAGGGGACGGGATGTCGAATGGTGAATGAATTCATTTATTAAAGGAAAAGGAAAAATAAAGGACAAAAGTAGTGGACAGAACAAAAAGGTTTTCTCGAACATTTCTTTATTTTTTAAACTAATATTCAAGGTGGTTTTTTTCTTGGGTCTAAATGTTGCCCAGCTGTCAACTTAATTTCCTGTCTGTCCAGATTTACCATGGGAATTCACAGTCCATCCAGAAGGATCCGGACTCTGAAATCAGCTCGGGATTTAAGTGGTGTGACATTTGGGCACAAATTCCCCAGACGTGGCCTGAAGCTTCTACACTGGTTGGCAAATGAATGGATCATGTTTGACAATGAGGGGAAGATGCTGGCCAAGACAGATCCTAGAACCGGAGGGTTTGGGTTCCACATCTTCCACAACAAGGAGCAGATCTTACCGCCGATACTGAGAGGCCAGAGCTGTTACTTTGAGGTGGGGAACCTGCATAAAGTTGGCTCTGATAATCTTCCCTTCAGACAGGCTGACACAAGAAGTAATAAGAAAAACATCGACCGCATCATTGTGCGAATGGTCTCAGGTGATGTGATTGGTGAGGTTTACATCACAGAACACACCCCTCACCAGAACAGCTTCTGTTCTGAATCTACATACCGCATCAGCAGAGGCCTGATTCTGCATATACGAGGTTTGGAGGAGAGCATCTTCCTCCAGTGGGCTGGATACATTCCAGGCATGTATGAACAGTTCATGGACCAAGAGGAAGAGGAGGAAGAGGATGAACATCTCATACCAAAGAACAGTGAAACCGCTGTTAACAATGGGGAGGAGGAGGAAGAGCAGGAGGATAGCCGATCCAGTCGTGATGATAGGTGTTGCTGTGTTATACTGTGAATTACTGCTGTGCTGTGATGCCATCGTTTAACTCAGCTTATTACACGGCTCTCTGGAATGCTTGATTCTGATTGGTCAGTTGAGACATTTGCAGGTTCGTTCTTTTCAAATAATGACCGCTCCAAAGTAATAACGCATAGCCGGTACTACTTGTATGTTTAAAATCAGTCCGCGCCAACAAAGATTATCGTTTAAAAATGTTAATTTAAAACAAATATGTCAATAAAATGTTTCAAATTTATATTCATGTCCAGTTTTTTTCCTTATGTGGCAAGTAGCCGTGCAATAACGCGTCGGGTCCTGATCACACTGTCGGGGCTTATTTCAGCGATAACTACCGGCTGCCTGTACATTATCCCTTACTTCACAATAACATTACCTTTTATTTTCTCTTGTATCTGAAGTCTTCTTCCATAATAAAATGTGACGTCCTACATCATGTATTGTCACAGACGTTTTTTTTCTGTCCCGGCACATGAATGTTTTGTTAAATTGGGCATAGTCTACAAAGGCACAGCAGTGTGAGTTATTGCCACAGAGTAAGTGTAAGTGTTGCTAAATCTCTAAAAATCATTTTTTGTAAAGTAATTTTCCCCCTTTATTTTTGTGTGGTGGAGTATAAAGCCAGCAGGGGGCATAATTCTGTAACTGAGGGGGGTGGCTACAGCTGGGGAAACAGTGTCTTTTTCCAGTGGAAACAACATCATGGGGTCACGGGGTCATAAAGTCATGCGGTGACGCACAGGCAGTGGACAGGAAGTCGCTGTCTCAGCAGAACATTGGAAGAAGACCATTCTGACAGGGCTGGCACAGGAAGTCCCCTGTGCTTCATGCACTGAAGAACGGCACACCGAGTTGAACACTGCATTTAGGCTGTGCATCTGTAGTTTCTGTGTGGGGTGTCATTTCCATGCGTCTGTAGTTTCTGTGTGGGGTGTCATTTCCATGCGTCTGTAGTCGCTGTGTGGGGTGTCATTTCCATGCGTCTGTAGTCTCTGTGTGGGGTGTCATTTCCATGCGTCTGTAGTCTCTGTGTGGGGTGTCATTTCCATGCGTCTGTAGTTTCTGTGTGGGGTGTCATTTCCATGTGTCTGTAGTCTCTGTGCAGGGTGTCATTTCCATGCGCCCGTAGCCTCTGAGTCTAGTTACCCCTGACACTGCAGTCTCCACTGTGTATTCTCATATTTTCTATGGTTTTCTGGCATCGCAGCATGAAAAACATCAAAATTTGTCACAGTGGACTGACAATACAGGACAGAACAGCTGCAAAAGAAACTTTTTTCCCTCAAACCACAACAAGCAGACGCTGAAATCTGGACTTGAACTGCAGCCAGATCTGCTCTGGAGTCCCTAGAAGGAAGAAAGCAGGAAGGAAAGGGCGTGAGCCTCTGGGCAGAAACCAGGGCTGAGAGTAGGCCAGCCTCGGCTGAGTGCCACTAATGCTGCAGGGACCCCCCCACGAGGTGCGGAAACTCCCCATCATCTGCAGAAAACGGTACAATGCTAAACCACACATAAAGTACAGTTAACTATAATACAAGAAGCACAACCTGCTGCATTAACTCTATTCTGGTTGTTCTCAGGTTATCAGAAGAGTCCCTGTGGAGACGAAAACAGCTTCATTAAACACCGAGCAGCTCCTCTGAGGTGAGTACGTTACTCTGACAGCTGCTGATTCACTGGATAGTGAAATGATCAGTGACAAGAACATTTAAGGAAAGTTGTGTACGATGTTTGTGGGTCTGTGTGTTATTTGGACGTTGTGGGGACCACTTTTTCATTCCCCACAATGGGAAACTCAATATTATAAAAATTTGCAACTTCACTCAATAAACTGAAAAGGCCGAAAGTCTCATATTTTGTTTGGTGACTCATGGTGTTGGTTAGGGCTGGTTAAGGATTAAAGTTGTCAAAGTTGGGATTAGGGTTTTTCCCATAGAAATAAATGGAAAGTCACCACAAATATATATATGCCTAATCTGTGAGTATGTGAGAGTGTGTATGTGTGTCCTATACATACTGTACAGTAAGAACATAAGAACATAAGAACTATACAAACGAGAGGAGGCCATTCGGCCCATTGAGCTCGCTTGGGGAGAACTTAACTAATAGCTCAGAGTTGTTAAAATCTTATCTAGCTCTGATTTAAAGGAACCCAAGGATTCAGCTTGTACTACATTATCAGGAAGACTATTCCATACTCTGACTACACGCTGTGTAAAGAAGTGCTTCCTTAAATCCAGTTTGAAATGTTCTCCCGCTAATTTCCACCTAAAATACTGAAATATCACGCATCTATTATCAGAGTTTGCACAGCATCAACATCCTGCAGCTCTCCTCGAGATCCTTTTTCCTGTCCCCCACAATGATGTCCAATCTGTTCCTCTGTCGTCTTCCTCCCTCCTCTTCCTCCCCGCTCTCCCCTCCCAGAGTGCATAATGATGATGACCCTGTTCACACTCCTTATCGTCGCTGCTGTGGCTCACGCAGTAAGTTCCCTGAATATGTTCACGGTCGGTTCCTTTTTATGGTGCTTTTGTTCCTTTATTTTGTGATTCAAAGTGCGCCAAAGACAACTTTACCTCACTTTGAAATGTATCAGCAAGGAACCCTGGATCCATGCTGTCATTTAACCCACCCAATGGAAAGCTAGAGAGATGTGTAATTAGGGTGACAAACGTGGCTAGTCCACATCTTTTTAACACAAATCAATACACACAGGGGCGTTGTTAGAAATTTTGGGCGCCCTGATAAATTGTCACCTTGGACTCCCAGCTTGGACCTATATATTGTGACTTTATTAAGCTGCATTTTTATATGTTATTAATGATGATTAAGTCATGTTCACATCTAGTGCTTCATCTCTTTGTAAAAAAAAGAAGACGATGGACATGTCCCCTATGGCAGTAGATGACCAGTTTATCAGCTGCGAGCGCCACATGATGCAAGAGGTGATGGATCCCCGGGGTTTGCTGGAGAAGGAGCTGAAGGAGAGCAACGGATTTAAGGAAGCATGGATAGATATCACACATGGCAAGGGCAACCTCAGCCAGCAGCACGTCCAGGCGCTGGAAGCCTACAGCAGTAGCACGAAATTCAGGAAAATGTTCAACGAGGCCGTGGAGCAGCAGGGCTGGAACACCAGCACCTACCGGCGCAGCTTCCCATACAAGTCTCTCCACTTCCTGCTGACGGACGCGCTGCGCCTACTCAGGCAGGGATGCCACACGGTTTACCGAGGCTCAGTGACAAAGTATGATGCCAAACTGGGATCAAAAGTGCGGTTTGGGAGATTCACCGCTGTCGCAAACAAAAAATCTGATGTTGAAGAATTAGCTGATGATGGTACGGTCTTCATCATCAAATCTTGCTCTGCTGTGAAAATCGAGGACTATGTCCACAAAAACAGTGAGATTAGCTGGCTAGTTGCTCCATTTGAGGAGTTCAACATCACGCAAGTGAAGGAAACCAATGACTGCAGGGAAATCACCCTGGATTATCACTCATTTCGTAGCAATCACAACTGTTCCATGTTCAGGTGAGTCGTCACTAATACAGGAATCTGTTTGTGTCCTGTCACAATCCCAGTCTGTCTGTACTGTGTGCTTACCCCTGTGCTGCTTGGCCATCTCTCGCCCCGCAGGGACTTCCCTCCCCGCAGGGACCTCGACCCTTCTGGACACGCCGTGACCTCCAGTGCTCCGCTGACATTGTGCCTCTGTGCGTCACTGTGGGTGACAACCAAGCTCTTCGTCTGAGGCGATGGCAGTATGTGAAGATTGGCCCATTTATTGAACAAAACAGAGTGATTCTTTATAATACACATTCAATGTTTTTATCTATGAATTAGATTAAATCTCGATCAATGTGATCCTCACCTGACATTGCAGTTTTCCCGGCTGGTTTACAGGATCTTTAGTTTTCAGTGACCTGCATCTGCAAATAACTGTGTTCATGCATAAGCCAAAATAACCTGCATAAAGCACGATCTGCATGCCCCCCCCTCCCCCCGCCCGTTGTGCACAGCTAAATAACCATCAGTGCTTGAAAGTGCTGATGTTCTGCTCTGCAGGTGAGCCGTGACTCACTTCTGTAACTGCACACGATCTGAGGCCTGTATCACAAAGCTGGATTTCTTACTTAGCCAAAGATTTAAGATATTCCAGTATAAATGGACTTTATCTTTGTTTACTTACATTTAGCCCAGACTACCTTTAATCCAACAAGTTATCTGGTTATGTGATTAAGCATGAAATCCTACTTCTTGATACAGGCCCCTGCTCTCGCCACTTTCGTCTGTACTTTGAAATATCACACTGCTTGGTTTGCAAAGCACCACACCAACCGCTGACTAATTCACCGCTTGCATTTAATCCTTTCATTTCATCTTGCCTAATTACTGAAATTCATACTGGAAATTAAAGAAAAATAAAGAAGTGAAATACTTTGCAAAAGTATTCAGTGCCTTTGTTGCGGGAGATCTGGGCCAATATGGGTAACAAAGGACTGATCCAATGAGAAGCCAGCTTACAGCTAGTCACCCCCTGTGAATCATTACAGCTGTGACTTTTTATGGATAAAAAAGGGCTGTTGTTCTAGCTGTGAATCTGAAAAATAGTGTTTGATATGTGTGTGAGAGAGCTCAGTAATGTGTCAATTAGGACAAGGGTACTAAACAATATCTGGCTGTTTATGTTTCCTGGTGAACACTACTGGTTCCAGTATCAGGAAGTGGGGGTTCCCCTAAGCCGCCCAGACACTGCCTGAAAAAGGGCTTCCCTCTTAACTCTGTAAGAACAAGGAGACTCATCAGAGAAGCCAGTGCTTAGTCTGAGGTCAGCAGCTGAGAGAGCAGCCAGCCCTACCGAGAGCAGACACTGTATTTTAGTTTTTTAAAAATATATTCTAGCATAAATTAGTTAGGTTAGGAAGACTCCAATTACAGCACAGGATGTGTCATTCTGTACAATGAGGTAGTGGCTTGGAATCCTGCAATCCAGTCTGTGTATCTGCTTCATGTGACTATTGTACGGCTTCCAGCTCCTGCTGTTTTCCTTATAACAGCCTCCCCTGGCTTGCATAAGGACGTTATTGGGGATCCTCTAAAACCGTGAGCTGAGGCTCTGACATCATTTCTGCCTTCCTGGTTTGCTACAATGTAACTCAGCACGGGTGGAGTTTCCACTAGCGCAGAGCAGAGCTGCAGCTCTGCGGGAAAGTGGTTAGGAGGTATGAATAAAAAAGCGCACTAAAAAAACGACAAACACGCTTAAGTCTAAGTTTAAGAAATTATCCTAGAGAAATTTGTTAGCAAATCTGCCTGGGTGGATGGAAATGAGTAACAAAAAAAAGAGTAATCTATCAGTGAGAAAGGCACTACTGATTGTGATAAAAACATCATGCTATCGTGCTCATGTCTGGAGCCGTGTGATCAGACGGGGGGGGGCTGCTGGGCACATGTGCCCTGAAGCATCTGCACGGCCGACAAGAGTTCACTGAACCTTCACCATGGGGGTGCTTTTGGGACGGCCTCGGCGATAAATACGTGGAAACAGTGAGGGAGGAGGAAGGAAACTGGCCAGAGCAAAGTATGCGGACAACTTGCGTGAGGGCGTGACGGGGGAGGGGTGCATGCTGGAGGAAGCGGCTGCATTATGGTGTGTGTTTGTGCGTTAGGGGCTGGGCCTCAGCCAAGATCAGAGTTCTGGTTCAAAGGTAAGATGTGGGCAGGGCCTGCTTGGCAGACGGGAGACAGCTTGTGCGTCCAGGGACCTCAAGGTAAACTCTCCAAAGTATTCAGCCCTGTTTTCTCCTCTCCAAGCTGTGTGTTTTACCTGGCTCTCCCCGCCTTTCACCTCGCATTGTGGATCAGACTTGTTTCATATGCAGGTGAGCTGTTCCTGCGGTCTTTTATGGGGTGGAGCTGATTGCTCTTTACTCTACGTAATCTTTTTTGTTTGTGTCTCGCTTTCACATTTGAAGGATTCTGCGTTTTCTCTTCTTGTTCTGTTTTTGTCTGTTTTTTTTTTTAAAAATAAACATGCAGGCTGCATTTTAAACGGAAAGACACAAATCACAATGAGTGCAGCCCCTACCTCTAGCAAATGACTAGGAGGTGGAGTTAAAGAGTAATTCAGCTTGGTGGGGGGGGTTGGGTTGGCTGTGTGTCTCCGTGTACAGAAACTCCGTTGTTAGGTGAGGGATGAACATCATTCCTCAGTCGCGCCGAATCAGGATGTGGAGGCAAAGACCCCTTCAGCGTGTTTTGCTCGCTTTGTCAGCAGGTTTAAGAGGTCCCTCACTTCCTGTGCTCACTCCTACACCCTCATTGGGACCCCACACCTAGATGGCCACAGTTCACCTGCCCTCTATAACCCGCGTCGCCATCTGCGGCGGAACCCATGGCAACGAGCTGTCCGGCGTGTACCTGGTGAGGGAGCTGCAGAAGCGGGAGAGGGAAACGCAGAAGGAGGCGGAGCCTGTCTCCGTGGTGACGGTGCTCTCAAACCCACGTGCTGTTCAGCAGTGCAGGAGGTATACAGAGATGGACCTAAACCGCTGCTTCACCAGCGCCATCCTCAGGTCAGATGAGTCTCTGCTGCTCCCATTATTTGTTTCATAATAAATGCCAGTTTCTCACAAAGGAACACTGACTATTTTTTCTTTTACTTTAAAGTTTTATTTGATGTAAAATGAGCCCTTTCCTGCACAAAGTTTGAGGTTTTACATTTATTTTTCATATGTAACTTCTAAGTGTATGAAGGTACATTTTAAACAGTAAAAGATACAGTCATTTAAACAGATCTGTATGTAGGTTTCAGGAATATAAACCACGAGCATATGATGGTTTGGCATTAAGCTGTCAGTCAGCTTTAAAACCTGGAGGATTCTGGGGTTTGGGCACCAGAGTTAGGAATCCTCTCTGACTCTGACAGTGGCTTTGAATAGGCTCCACTAGGGACTCTGCCCTGGAAATGTTCTGAGACTGTGTGAGCAAACCGTAGATGCCTTTGTCGCTCAGCAAGCCCCTAGATGTAGGGGCTCTGTATGAGATGGAGAGAGCACAGGAGCTAAACAAGATCCTGGGCCCTCGGGGGAGCACCACTGCTGTGGACCTGGTCTGCGACCTCCACAACACCACTGCCAACATGGGCCTGTGCCTCATCACCTACTCTGACAACAACTGGATCAGTCTGCACGTTATGAAGTACCTGCAGGCAAGAGCAAGCGATTCCCGCTCCAGCCCTCACTAGTTAAACCTCGCTCACACTTACGCTCTACTGTAGACAGGCTGGAATTTAGCACTCGGCAGTGCAACGGTTCAGCCGTCACGTGGCCCCGCTCTCTCCGCAGAGAGAGATCCAGTCCGTGCCGGTGCGCTTGGTCGATCTGGGGATGCCGCATTCTGAGGCGTACTCGCTGGAAAGCGTGGGAAAGCACGGCTTCTGTGAGTGTGCCAGACAGTGCGTCTCTGTGAGTGTGCCAGACAGTGCGTCTCTTTGTGAGTGTGCCAGACAGTGCGTCTCTGTGAGTGTGCCAGAGAGTGCGTCTCTGTGAGTGTGCCAGACAGTGCGTCTCTGTGAGTGTGCCAGACAGTGCGTTTGCCCGTTTGTGCCGCCACCCTGGTGGCAGAGAGCTGACACTGCGCTGCATCTCCCACAGCGATCGAGGTTGGGCCGCAGCCTCACGGTCTGCTCAGGGCGGATATCTTCAATGCCATGCAGGACGGAGTGCGCTCCATGCTTGACTGGATTCGCCGCTTCAACTCAGGTTCCCAGAAGCACAGCATTGCCGCCTTGGGGTGCCCCTCCCCCACCCTGTGTTTGACAGTAATTATGAAAGAAGTGCTGTTTATCCTGCAAGCCTGGGCTTGCCCTGCTAAAGATGCCCTCTCTCTCTCTCACACACACACACTCCATCTCTCTCACTTGGTCTCTACCTCTCCCTCTATCTTCCTGTCTCAGGTACCATCTTCCATGGCGGAGAGGTGGATGTCTACACCATGGTGAGATCTGTTGATTACCCCAAGGACCCTGAGACTGGCTCCATCTCTGCCACCATCCACCCACAATTACAGGTACAGGATTCAGCCCCGGATAAACCGGACAGGGAACCGCATAGCAAAACTTTCAGTTGAAATTTACTGAAATGTCCGGCAAAAGACGAGAGACTACAGACCACAGATGATCTCACGTTTTACTGAAATATTGGTCACGTTTATTTACCGCCTGTGAGTGACCTTAGGTGTGAGCAGTGTTCCAACGTCAGTCGGAAGCTGACGTGTCCGTGTGGCCTTTGCCAGGACCGCGACTTCTGTGTCCTCCGACCCGGCGACCCGATGTTCCTGTCCTTCACCGGACAGACGCAGCTGTTCGAGGAGGAGGAGCCTCTCTACCCCATCTTCGTGAACGAGAGCTCATACTATGAGAAGGGCATTGCCATGTGGCTCACACGGCTGAGGAGGGTGCAGATCCCCCCCCTGCAGGTGCAGGCAGACTGACTCCACGTCACCAGAGACAGCCACACACTGCCCTCTGGCAACATTCCACTGTAAGCAGCAAATAAATACGGCCCTTCCAATAACACCAGTGTGGAGTGCAGTTCATTCTTTATATTCAAATATGGATTTACCAGGGGAGTTTCTAGCTATTGAAAAGATCAGAGGCAAGTCAAGTCTGCCTAGGGCTTCACTGTTTTTTTGTTTTTGAAGAAAGATTAGCATCGCGGCTAAAGTACTCGGGGCTTTAGCCCCCAGTGATCGGACCTAATGACGCCCTTGGCATCTACTTCTCTCCTTATGAACAAAACTGGTACAAACAGGCTATCGGACATATGAATGATCCATGTATCGATTTGTAAAATCGCATCTATATAACTTGTTAAAAACCACAGGTCACAGTGCTCAGAGTATAACTCATGTATTAGTGGTTAAAAAAAAACAGACAGAAACACGCTGAGGATGAAGACAGGGAGTTAGGAACCCCAGTGCTTAAAACACAGCAACAGAAATGAGCAGTGAGGATTACAGTGCAGGTTTCATGGATTACAGTCTGCGGCTTCCTGAAATCAAACCAAAAAGCCAAAGCGGAAAACTCCTTAGACAGGAAGGAGAACTGGTTCATTTCAGATGATTCAGCAAGTAAAACATATTAACCAGGTGAAGGGCAGTAAGGCAGAGACAGCGTGAGGCTGGATGTTTGGCAGGTGCCCAGTCTCAGGCATGTGACTGGCACGTTCAATGTCTACTTCTGCATAGTGGTTTAAAAAGTATAGCATAGATCCTGGCTGACCGGACACACGGGTTAAGGACAGATATGGCAGAAACAGAGGGAGGGAACCCGAGGCTTCTGCGTCATGTACAAGGGCTTCAGCAATCAGAAGTGCTCTAATCTGATCTGGTATCCTCTGAGTTTCCAGTGACAGGCCAAGAACAGGGACGACATTCGAGGTCGTACTCCAAGTGCATCGCCGTCACAAATATTAAAGCAGGATGTCAAAATGAAGGACATGATTTAAAGATGATTAAGAAGAGCTCACAGTCCATTCAAATGTCAGTTGGCAATAGGACTGAAAATAATTTCATGCATAAAAACAATGATAGTTATGTACTTATTTTGCCTTTTGGAAGATATCCCAATAAATAGCAAGACAAACACGTCTAACTTAAGATAAACCAAGAAAGGAATACATAGTGTTGTGTAACAGTTTCACTGGCCGAGAAGAGCTGCCCTGAAGGGAGCTTGGAGTAAGAGCCACTCTTCCATTAAAGCTACATATCAGCAGGAGAAGTCAGCGTGAAACTAACGAACAGTTAGTACGAGATCTGAAATAGTCAGATGAGTTTGTCCCACGTCCCCTTAGGAGTAACATCGGTAATGTTGCGAGTCTGCTTGTGGATCCGCCCTTCCTCCTGCAGCCGCTGCTTTGCGTTAAGTGACTGAACACACAGCTGGCATCAAAGGGAGATGTCAGGGACAGTTGGAACGGTGCCGTTATGCGATGCGGTAGGCGGTCATGCGGCGGTAGTTCTTCCGGTGACTGCCGGATGCCCACATCAGCAGGGCGCCAGCCATCATGTGCAGCGGTGAGGAGGCCAGAGCCAGGTACAGCGACCAGCCAAGGGAGCCCTCCACCTCCTCTGGTACAACCAGAAGCTTGTGGAGCAGCCGCAGGCCGACCAGGAAGCAGCAGGTGGCTGCCAGAGAGCACAGGCCTGGGGCGAGCGGGGGGAGAGAAAGCGACCGTGCATCAGAGCACCATCATCAGCGAAACTGGAGGAAGCAGTGTCTTTTACGTGCGGTTCCCTTACCTGCCAGAAGGTGGAGCACTCCTACAAAAAGTGTGGGAGTGAGGCTGCGGCACAGGCAGGAGCAGAGGCCAATCAGCGCCGCCAAGGACACCAAGCCGAGGGACACCAACGGCAACACAAACTGACATCGCCACAAGTCTGGGATAACAGAGAGACAATTACCCTAGACTAGTCCAAAGGTTACTGAGACTCAACATTTCTTTTGAGCATCTTGGCAACAAATGTTACAAAACAGCATCATTTTAGCATCAGGCTAATGCTAAACGGTGACTGGGCCAAGCCGGGTGGCGAGCCCATAGTGTCAGGCTCCGGTTCCACATGCCAGACTCACAGGTACGGAGAAGATCCTCCTCAGAGGCTGTGCTGACGGGGTCGTTGTACTTGGAGGTCAGCTGCTGCTGGAGTGTGTAACTCCTGCAGGACCCTGTGGGGTAGACAGACTGACCATTAGCTCAGAGAGTGTTCAGAATGTGTGGCTAACCTCAACTCACAGATCAAAACTCTGGAGCGGGGTGTGAGAACGTGAGGCATATGGTAGGTATATGCAGACGGACATTCACCTGTGCTGCCCGGCCCCTGGATGCAGTACCACCAGAGGCCCAGTGTCCCACTAGATTGATATAGCTTCTCCATGAAAGTCTTCTCAGAATCCACGTCATGTGAGGGCATTTCCCCACTGTTATTCTGTGGGCTACTGTACTGGTACCAATATGGCGTGCCGACTGCCACTGACAAGTATACAGTGGCCAGGAGGCTCAGGACCGACCCAATGACCAGGGCCGTGGCATAACGGTTGTCCACCATCATGTGAGTACTGCAGACACCTCTGACTCACTATTTACCTACAGCATGGAAACACTGAGGGCAGCTGAACGTGTATGATTGTTCAAAAACAGTACTATCAGATTTGCACGTATACCCAAAAAATACAGACACAAGATAGTTTTCTACAATCGATGTTACACATGCACTTTTGACAAATGCATTTGTCGCCTATTGCTGCCTGAACTTCATTGATTGTCCATTCCAGTTCTGGTCAGGTACTGGGCCAAGCTGTGGATTCACTCTGTTCGCATCTCACGCCTCCTTCATGCCTCTTGCCCTGCAGTCACACCAGACAAACATGGGAAAGATAAACAACAACAAGTGAAATCCTCATAAGCAGCCTAGTGCACTTCCTTTTATATTAATATTACGAATACATTCGCAGGTGACTTTCAACAATAACTCAGACTGACGGTTAAACAGAAAAATAATTTTAAAAGAAGATGCAGGCTGCTCACATTCAGTTTATTACAAGTTGCAGGGACGTGACAGCTTGACTCGGCGGGCCGGACCGGCAGCCGCCCAGGGTGACGGCACTGCCCCTAGAAGAGACACTCGCCCAGTTACTCGTCAAATTCAGATTTAAAAGCGGAAACAAAACGGGGCCCATCCCTCCGGAGAATTTAACAGACGAGTACGCCCTTTAACAACGCCATTCGGACAATAGTCAATCGCTTTGCATATTTACTTTTTATACTCTGCCGAACGTAGACCCAACAGTTGCCTTTTCTGGATCTCGGGCGCATGCAAACTACGTCATCAACTAGCAACGGAAATGAGCCTTTCATGACCGGAAATCACCCGGAACCACACAATAATGAACCATATTCCTCGGTTTCTCAAAAACTTTCCACATATTTTCCCTGGTTTTATTTAGATAAAATATTAAAGCGTGTGACGGGTGATGTGTAAATGCAGACGTTTGAATTTCTTAAAACCTTTAGAAGGTTCGACACCTGTAATCATGATGAAATTTCCCAGACAGCAGCAGGACGTCTCCGCCCTGCTCGAAAATTCATCGGCGAAGTACAGTGGTACGGTACCTCGTCTCACGAACAGTCCTGTTCACGAACAATTCGGGTTACACGCAAACATCCCTCAAAAACGCATAAATTTGATAGGGATGCGCGTATCCCCGAGATCGCGCTACCTGAATTTTTTCCAAAGCCGTGATACTACCCGAGCATGGGGCTGCAGTGCATTGCGTGTTTTGTGTTGCTCTTCATTGTTTTATGTGTTGTTTTTTCTGGAAACACAAATAATTGTGATGTAGTTCGGTTCTTCACCGAGGTGAAATCAGTTTTAGGTTGGATATTCGACGGATATTCAGATCCACACTCTCCAGACTTAGCGGCGGGGCATCACTCACGCTAGCCGGCATAAGGCGGTCGAAAGACAGCCAGATCACAGGCTCCTACGGGCTAGAAGCTATTGAAAAAAATGTCTAGCGCACCGCTGACTTAGGGACCGTCAACGAATTACTGTCAGAATAATAAAATACTGATTGCTTGCAATAACATCAATGCAATGGGACCCA